CATCTTGGAAACCCTACTATGGGTCGGAACAAACTCGATGGCACTTAACAACAACAACAACCTCACTCCCAAGATAATTCTGCTTGACTGACTCCTTCTTACCATTGTTATTGTTCGTCCTCAAACAGTGCCTTGTCTAAGCTGCCTGGCCTGACTACTCTCTGAACCAAGTCAAACATACACACATCCTATCCTCTGCAGGCAAACTCTCACCCACTACCCTACTATGCTGCATTCTCTGTAGCATCTAAAACTACCTAAGGTTGTGTTATTTATTTACTAGACTGTAAATTTGACCGTCCTCTCCCATTAGAATGCAAGGCTCTACAAAAAAACAAGGCTCTTATTGTCAAAAATGTTGAATCAATGAAATGATGAAATCCTGTTTCATATTTAAGGTCTGCTCATATATGTCCTCAGTAAGGCTAGATTAATCCCTCTTCTTTATTTAAACTTAGCATGTTGTGGGTATTGTTGTTAAGTGCTGTTGAGTCGATTCTTACCCATAGCGACCCTGTATATAGGGTTTCCAAGGAGCAGCTGGTGAGCTTTAACCACCGACCTTGCAGTTCAAACGACTTTGCAGTTTGACGCATTAGCCCACAGTGCCACACCATGATTAATAGTGCAGAGCAGAGATAGTTGAACCTGATAAATCCATCTGTTTTCTCTTGTGATGTGAACTCTTTGACAGTGTTGTTAAACACTAGTGGATTTGAACTGCTGGCTTGTGGTTTGTAGTCCAGTGCTGAACCTACAGCTCCATACCTGGAGTCTTTGACAATAGAGACTTCTTAACTCTCATATTTATAGTACCACCATTCCTTGTATGAGGGGCCTTCAAAAAGTTTGTGTAAAAGTGGAATGAGGATAATGGAATGTTTCCACAAACTTTTGAAGCCCCTTGTATAATAGCCATGGCCATCGAGTCAATTCCAACCCATAGTAACCCTGAGTAGGGTTTCTGAGAGAGATTGCAAAACTGTACGGGAATGGAAAGCCTCATGTTTTGCCCATGTAGTAACTGGTGGGTTTGAACGATAGACCTTGCAGTACCACAAAAGTTCCTTTCTTGTAGTATAATGTTGTTAAGTGCCGATGAGTCAGTTCCAACTCATAGTGACCCTGTATAGAGCTTACAAGGAGCAGCTGGTGGGTTTGAACCACCAACCTTGTGGTTAGCAGTCCTATGATTATCCTAGAGCGACACAGATTTTTTAAAAATTTCATCACATTTCTTCCCGTCATTTACTATTCACTAAGAGAGCCTCGTGTGTGCCAAGCACTGGTCACTGGTGATAGATTTCTCATGGGATTCTTCTTTCTGAATTCAAGCTTTGAGAAGTCAGTAAGCATTTTCCTACTAGAAGACAGGTAGGATGGATGGTTAATAAGGCCCATTTTAAAGAGAAATGACCATCTACATGCCTGTTTCCTTTTCCATATTGCAGCACGGTTGAAAATCGTTACAATCTGCCTCGCTACCATCCTAGGTCTTCTTGCCAAGTTGACACTAGGCAAAAAAAAAAAAAAGAGAGAGAGAGAAGATGAGTATTCCAGGCAGAAGGACTATATATCCTAAAATCTGGTAGTGAGCATGGCAAGTCTGAGACTGAAAGATGACCGTGGAGACTGGAATTACTGAGTACATGCCATAGGGACAGACATGTGAGAGTTCAGCAGGAGCCAGACCTGGCAGACATAGGATCCACATTTAGGAGTCTGGAACTTAGCAAAGCAATGGAAAGCCACTGAAGGGCTTAGCGGGGGTAACATCAGATTTTTAATATAAAATATCCTTCTGACAGCAGTGTGGCCAAAAGAGATCCTGGAACCCCATTTAAGAAGCTGTAGTAATTGCACAAGAAATGATGGCAGCTTGAATTAGTGTTCTGTGTGTAGATGGAGGGAACTAGATAAAGTCTAGAAATGCCGTGCATTTAGAATGTAAGAGTAGCAGAATGTGTTACTTTTGACTTTTACATGTTAGCTAAATGGGGGAGGCAGGAGGGAGGAAGGACAAAGATGCTTCTTGGTTTCCTTGCCATACATGATAGTAGCATTTCCTGAGTCATTGTAGTAAAGAGTCTGATTTAGGAGGGAAAATATGAGTCTGGTTTTGGTCCTGCTGAATTTGAGGTGCCTCTTGGACATCAAAAGGGATACATTAGGTAAGCAGTTGGTCAAAATGTCTAGAGTTTTGAGAGATGTCTGAACCTATAAAGATAACAGTTCTGTGACTCAGAAAATACAGGTGATAATTAAGCCTGGGTGTGGCTGATTGCAAAAGGTGAGAATGTGGGGTGGGAAAAGCCACAAGGAATCCAACATTTCCTGGGACAGAGGAAACAGAGGAAGCAGCCAGAGAAAAGTATCATTGGATTTTAGCGACCTGAAGGCCATTGTTGACCTCATGGAGTGCTGTTGTAATACAAGGAGAGCTTAGAAGCCAGGTTGAAACGGTTGAGTGTGAGTGGAAGGAGAGGAAAGGTGAACATTGATTAGAGGCCTCAGGGGAACTAGGGTTTCCTGGAATCTGAAAGAGAAGCAGTTAACAGAACAATGGGATGAATTTGCCATGTCTAAAGATGCTATGATAGTGTAGTGGTTACGAATCAGGCTACTAACCTCAAGGTTGGCAGTTCAAAACTACCAGATGTTCGTGGGAGAAAGATGAGTCTTTCTGCTCCCGTAAAGATTTACAGCCTTGGAAACCCTGTGCAGGGTCACTATGAGTTGGGACCGACTCCACGGTACTTAACAACAACAACAAAGATGCTATGGAACAGAGAAGGAACTGCTTTGGAACTCTCCTAGAAGAAGGAGAAGTCTGGGAAGGCTTCAGACAGGAGGCAGTGCTTTGCTGATACCATGCCTGGAGTGAATTATGGAAATAACTTCGCCATGTGGAGAGGAGGAGAGGACTTTATGAGCTATGATGGCATAAATCTGAGCATGTGTTCAGGGATTATAGCGGTTGCTTTGGAACATAGGGAGCAGTGACAGAGGACGACAGATAATAAAATACTCTGGGGGCTCAAGTGAGGTGCTGGTAATTTGCATTCTAGTTGAGAATAGATCTGCTTGAGTTTTTATATAAAAGTATCTTAGGTTATTTTTAATGGGGTACCAGAGACTCCAGGAAAATAAGCCTTGTGGATTTTGTGGCTTTCGTTTGTTGGTCCTGTACACAAGCTTAAGTAATAGCTCTCCACTCCACCCGCAGCTGAGAGTGTCTGTTGGTCATTGGTCATGAGTGACCACTAAGGGAGAGTTTCAAGGGCAGATTTATGTTATGGGGCAATTATAGATTCCAGGTTCATATTTATGTTAGGAACGTATTTGGATTTGAAGTAGGGAAATATTGTGTGTGTGTGTGTGTGTGTGTGTGTATGTATAAACACACACTGAAGAGAGGACAATAATGTATAAGGCCAGAAACCCTCTACAGGTCGCCATGAGTGGGAACCTACTGAACAGCATTTAATAACAACATGTGAATCTGAAGAGGCATTAAAGTGGCAGCTGAAGCTTTGGGAGAGATGGAATTGATCAAAACTAGAGTTCAAAGTCTTAGGAGAAAAGGCCTAGCCAGAGAGAGCTTTGGGGCAATACCTTTATTTAAAAGGAGGGCATGAGAGGGAGGAAAAACAAAAACAAAAACTGAGAAAATGGAAGAAACCCATGAGGGAGGAAACAGGAAAGCATTTCAAGACTGATTTATTTCAAGACCAGGTAACAATACCAAGTGCCGCAAAAACCAGTGCATGTAAAATAGTGCCTAAAAGACTTCCATTGAATATGATGGGTCATTGGCAATGTCGGGTTACCCGGTGAGCAAGGTAAGCACATGCTTACTAATTTGTAGTGAACACAATTGCACATTTTTTCACACAGAAGATTCTGCTTTTCGGTATGGCTGGCATCTATCTCAACCAACCCCACAGCACTTGCCTCCAGAATCAAAGCCACTTTCCTAATGTACAGTCCCCCACAGGGAAGGATGTAACGCCCAATGAACAAGGCAGGAAAGGTTTACTTGATCTGTAGCGAACAGTGTGGCCCATTTCCACTACATCAAACTAAGGCGCTCTGGGAGCATAGTGGTTACGAATCGGGCTGTGAACCACAAGGTCAGAGGTTCGAAACTACCAGCTGTTCCACAGGAGAAAGATGAGGCTTTCTACTCCTGTAAAGATTTACAGCCTCGGAAACCCTGTACAGGGTCACTATGAGTCGGAACCGACTCCACGACACGTAACAACAACAAAAAGTGAAAACTAATATGAATTGTTCACTCCAGATAAGTAAGTAAGCAAAAGTAAGCCTGTCCTTGCCTTGCTGATTGGGTAACCGCCCCTGGTCACTGACTATTGAAAGTTGTTACTGTGACCTTAAACGAGGGCAGATTCAGTAAAGGGCAAACTCCAAGTTTCCATGTGACAGCCAGTGGAGCTGGGCATGCTTTCCAGGAGCTGAGCTGGGAGGGAGGGAGGATCAGTGAGTTAGCACTAGTTGACAAGAGATGCTGTGTCATGGGAGACTTTTTTTGTAAGTGGTTTAGTTTTTAAAACAGGGGAGTAAGTATATATGTATCTGTTGTTGCTGTTGTTAAGTGCCATCGAGTCGGTCTGACTCAGCGACTCGAAGGTACTTAACAAAAACATATATATATATATGCTGAGGAGGGGCCAGTAGTGTAGGGGAGGAGATTAAAAATGCAAGGCCTGGGCCTTTACATGTAGTTGTTGTTAAGTGCTGTGGAGTCAGTTCTGACTCATAACAACCCTGCGTAGGGTTTCCAAGGTGGGTTTGAACTGCTGACCTTGTGGTTCAAACTGACCTTGTCTTGCAGTCAAGTGCTTTATCCCACAGCACCACACCAGGACTGTTTGCTGTGTGAATGACTTGCTTACTGTTAAGTTCCTCAATCTCAATTACACAAGTGAAATTTGTTTTATTGTATACTTCATAATTTTCATATTTTTGTTTTGTTTTAGCCTCAGAATATTTTGTTGACAAGTGAATCGCCCTTGGGTGACATTAAGATAGTTGATTTTGGCCTTTCAAGAATAATGAAGAGCAATGAAGAGCTCAGAGAAATTATGGGAACTCCTGAGTATGTGGGTGAGTGGTCACAGAGCTGTGGGGTGCTCTGTGTTTTCAATCAGGAATCATCTTCCTATTAGGTGACACATTTGTGTTATGATTAATAGTGGTATCAGAGGTCTGACTGTTATGGTGAAATTCTATTAGGTTTTCAGTCTTTTGTATTAAGTAAAAAAAAAAAAGGGAAAACTTCCAAAAGTAAGCTTAGCGAGTTGGTGATCCTTTAAGACTAAGAGAATTTGAAGGCCTTAAGGACTAGGAGAGGATTTCCTTTTTAAAGCCAGGCAGCCTCAGTGTATCTCAGAGTGGAAGGAGATTCAGCAAGAATGGCCTTGAAGGGAGGTCAAGTTGGTGATAAGCGCTGTGAAAGCACTGCAAGCGGAGGGACGACATTGCTGGATGGGGCGGGAAGGGCATTCATTTGGATTGATGTAAGGTTTCTGGCAAAAATTGTTTTGAAGACCTAACCATTGGAGCCCTGGTGTGGTGCTGTAGGATAAGCACCAGTTCAGATCCACCAACTGCACCTTGGAAACCCTATACAGAGTCACTATGAGTCAGAACTAAATAGTTAACACTTAACAGCAGCAACACACATTGAATGGTACACAGAGCTCTCTAGATTGAGTTGGAAAAGACGTAAACTATGATTGGACTGATTTTTATCTAGACTGGGAGAAAAGGGAAACTATGGAATTTGAGGGATTCATAGTTTGAATGAGGTTAAAAACAATTACAGTGTGGAGTAAGGCAGCAGAGTAAATGTCTAGGTTGTGACGTTTCAGAGGTGAAACAGTTCTTGGTAATTAGGAGGCCCCAGATGCAACTCTTAGACCAAGAGGGGAAGCAGCTGGCTGCATGGGTGGGTCATGGTGTTTTTGTTTCCTGGGCTGATGGCCAACCTCGGAGTGGGGGGGGGGGGCTTTTGTCTTTAGATGACAGCAACATGACAAAGAGTAGTGAGGGCTATGGCACTTAACAACAGCAACAATCTTTTGCTCATTGATCTCCATTTTACTTTTTTTGATAAGTTCGAAAAATTCATTTCATTTTTAATTTCCTACTTGTTGCTTTTAAACCTTTTAAATAATATCCATGACCGACCTGTGTTTCGCAACAATTTCAGAAATCAAAGGTGAGGAAGCATTCTTTCCAACATCTCTCTCCTCTCTAGTTAGTGTTTTGTTCTAAACCAGTAAAGGATATGGGTTTGGGATGCTTTATGTTTTCAATAGAATTAAAACACTCTCATTCCATTTTCAAATTGACATTGCCACGGTAGTCTAGTCTTTGACCTATTTTTTGAATCTATCAGTAGTCCCTTGCCTGTCTTTTCATAAGCTAGCTTTCCTATTTGTGTACTTGCGGAGAGGAAAAAGAAAAAAAATCTTACTGTAGATTAGATTGTTATCAATGAATAGATATTTCTTTTCAAAAGTTTTCATATTTCTTCTGAATCCTTGTGTATTTGAGAATGTCTTGATATGTGACAATAATTTAGTTAAATTTATGAACTCTATGATACCGATGCAGCTTCATTTGCCTCTGTGTGTGACACAATGTTATCTGAGGAGGCCCCATTTTTTCAACATACTGACTGACTTTGCTAATTGACCAGGAGAGAGGGAAACTTACCGTAGACTAAGGTGTCGCAATGGGGAAGAGAGAAGGGAATAGATTTGAGAAGGAATTAAAAGATAGAATCTGTAGATCTGATGTTGATTAGATAGAGGCTGTGGGAACAGGAAGTTGTCAAAAATTGACGGTTTATATTGCAGTCTTTATGTATTCAAATCTATTTTAAAGACGAGTAGTCAAATGATGGGTGGAGGTTTGAAAAGATAAAATTTAAAACCTCTGGTTAGACTTTACAGTTACTCATTAATCTTATTTATAATGTTCATATCACTTTAGCATAGACTGTGGTCGTATTTTAATTTCTGATGCTTATTACAAAACTGTTGTATCACTAAGAGCAAATTAGGAGTTTTTTTCATTAAACTAATGTTTCTTTTCTGCTTCTTATACTAGCTCCTGAAATTCTTAGTTATGATCCTATCAGCATGGCAACTGATATGTGGTAAGAAATATTTATGAAAAATTAGCTAACTTACTAGCCAGAAATATACGATACTAATGATTTCCTATACTTTCTTTTTAATTTAGGAGTATTGGCGTGCTAACATATGTCATGCTTACGGGCATATCACCCTTCTTAGGTGATAACAAGCAAGAGACATTCTTGAACATCTCACAGATGAATTTAAGTTATTCTGAGGAAGAGTTTGATGTTGTATCAGAGTCAGCTGTTGACTTCATCAAAGCACTGTTAGTTAAAAAACCTGAGTAAGTACTAGTTCACATGGATGGTTGTCAGTTTTTTAAGCAATTGAAACAAAAGCAGTTTAAATACTGAAACACCAAAATGAAAACCTGAAAATCTAGACAAAAATCTAGATGAAACTTTTGATACATCTGTTGAAAGCAAAAATGAAAATATTTGTAGAATATCTAAACCACACCTCTTAAATGAAAGAACCTTGAAAATTCGTTAGCAAAATTGTATTATTGTAGATGTGGCCTGTTGAGAACGGTACTCACAAGTCATGTTTGCTGGATATTGATGACAAAATGACAAATAATCCTTAACAAATATGTTTGTCCATCTGTTCTTGGACCTTCAAAGAGGGCTTTTCCGAGATAAATCTCACTTAAAATATTGTTTTTCAACATTATAGGGAGTTGCACACAAATGTCAAAACTTCTAGTTTTATTTAGGAATTCCAATAAGGTTTTTGCCAACTCTTAATACTTTCCAAAATGTAGTATCTTATATTCTAATTTCTAATGGAACTTTTTGCTGTGTTGTCTTAAATATAAATGTACGTCTTTATACAGAGACCGCGCCACAGCTGAAGAATGTCTAAAACATCCATGGTTGACACTGAGCAGTCTTCAGAGTCCTCCTCTCAAGATGAAAGCTGCATTAGAAGAAGCAAATGCCCTCCAAGAAGGTGATTCTGTACCAGAAATTATTTCAGCTACTGAGAAAGCGGAAGCTGAGGAAGTACTTCTAACGGAAGAGTTCATTGTGGTTACTTCATATACATTAGGACAATGCAGACAGTCTGAAAAAGAGAAAACAGAGCAAAAGGCCATTTCCAAACGATTTAAATTTGAAGAACCTTTGCTACAAGAAATTCCAGGAGAATTGATCTACTGAGCAGTATTTTCCTTTAGACCTCGAATTGAGAACATTAATAATATTCATGGGCCTCTGGCCAAATGATACGTGTACTGAATGTGGGTAGCCAGGTCTCACTGGTATGAAGGAAAAGAACTTTGCCAAACTGGTGGAGTTTTGGGTCAATCCAGATTCATTAAGTTGCCAACCACAGCAGGTTTGAGAGGTAAAGTTCTCTGTTTCAGTGTTGTTCCTGAGAAGTTTACCGTTTGCACCTCGTAGTTATACATCTGTGTCTCCAGATTTAGAATTGGTAGGCAAAGTTATTTGTATTTGCTGTCTTTTAAAATCCAGTAAAAGTGCCAAAATTACATCTTTGTTAATTTGTTTTGCATTATTCATATGTGTATCTATGTCTACATAAATGTGTTGATATCTTTACTATAAGTGATACTTTTTCACTTTGGGTTATTCTTGACGAGGGTGGGGGCGAGATTTCAGTTTAAATAGAAGTCTTGCACATTTTTGAGACCTAGCATAACACCCACTATAGTTTGATAATGCCTGATTTTGTATTTTATTATTGCTATGTATTGACTCGATTTGACGCCTGTTGTCTTTTGATCTAATGGTTGTAATTGTAACCTATCAGGAGAAAACCCTGGCTAATTTTTCCCCCTGTCAACACCACTAATGAGAGAAGTGGTGACTTTTCAAAGACATGGTTTAGTAACCCTACAATATTAAAGCAGTGTTGGATAGCCAGCCACTTCCTTCCTGCTCATCTCCTCTCATGGGCCACACCTGTGCCCGCCTCCTCAGTTTTCCCCTTAGTCTGGGACACTCGTAGGTGTCGGTGTGATCTGATCAGTATTTTAACTGCTTTGATCAGTGAAAAGATCCTATTGTTTTGTTCCGGAGTTACAGCAGGGGAAGAGATATCAAAGCGTATGCATTGTTGCCATAAGCCTTCATGTCTGTTGAGTTTTCAGCCTAAAAGCCACACTAGGAAAAGTCATAGAGTGCCAAAATACTTACAGACCTTTACTTTGTCCACAAAAATAAAGCGATACTGAACACTTTGTCGTTAAGATGGTACCTTGTCCCAAAAGACTTGTAAGAGTGTGCTCAGTAGAATTTGATTTGATCAGGAGTGAGCACTTTAATTGCATTTAAATCACACAGTGGATGGTAAATTTGTATTTAAAAAATGGAAATGAGAAACTGTATGATGCCTAATTTAAAGTAACTAAATATCCTTCCTCAATAAAAGTCTGAGAACCCTTATTTATCTTTGGTTAGGCTCCGGTGTGGTACGTGCTCACCAATAAAGCTGGCTCCCTGTGTGCCGTGTGTGTGCACCCGGCCCCTGCACACGCTCTGTGTTCTCTGTGACTGACAGCTTGGACCTCCCCTCTCCTGCGTCTGAGCAGTGTCACACAGCACTTCCTTCCCGCATGATTTCTCAAATGTCACAATCATGACAGTGATGGGAACTAACTAACCGCCTTTTCTGAAGTGCGTTCAGTGTAACCTGCTCCTCACATCGTAACACCATGGGTTCCAGAGAGCAGGTGCTTATGGGGAAATAGGTATTATATGAAAATAGAGAGTGACTATTACATCAGCCCCTCAGCTGTACTATATCCACATGCCACCAGGCCTCCGATGACATCACCTGCCTCCCCCCTCCTCCACATCATCTCAAGAGAGCTTGATGCCCACTGCTGCCCACAAGGGAGGACTGGTCAGTCTTCCAGAACCCAGATCCCCCAACGACTTCCCCTGGGGTCCCCTCCCTCTCCTGCCTTCATTGTGTTTTAAGGATGGGTGGTCCTGACTCATCCCCACAGAAACCCCAAAGTTTCGTTGGTGGTCTTTGGGAGCAGGGGGCTGCCTGTCCTTGGGCCAGAGGTCTTGAATGAAGCCATGGCGTGTGCACTGCCAACAGAGAGCTACCATCCTCTTGCCCAAGCATCCCCTAGCTCTTGCTGGTTCACCCTGCCCCACTTCATGCCCATGTTCCCATGGAACCAACACTCTCCTGAGGCCTCATGGCCAGACCCTTGATATTAAACTGCAGCCGCTACTGGCCCCTCGCCTGTTGGCCCCACCCCTCCCCAGGTTGCCTGCTCAGGAGGAGGCATCAAGAAAGGTGCTGGTCAGCTTACATGGGGTGCTGTAGACCCTAGGCACCCAGGTTCCCCATTTCAAGGTTCCTTCACTGCCACCTCAATGTGGGCCAGATCCTAGGGGCCCATTTCCTCCCCAGCCCCAAGGCTGACCCCAATTTCAGGGCATCAGCCCATTGTGAGTACCCAAGACATGCTGGGCAGCATTCTAATACCCCTCACAATCAGGTGGCTCAAGGAGGCTTTGCCCCTGTCACCTCCTGGATGGCAAAATACTATCCAAAATGTGAGTTTCCTTCTACCTGCACAAGGGGTACAGATGCTCACTGATCAGGGACACTTATGTGTCATTTATGTGCAAAATAGGTAGTGTTGATTATTTTACTATAGTCTGAAATGCAAAATATGGACTAGCAAGATAGGAGTAAATAGACTCCACTAAACTTCTGGGCCTGGGCTCCTCACACAGCCCTGCAGTGGGAGAGCCTGGCAGGTCCTGAGAATTGTGCAGACACTGACTCAATCCTTTAGGGCAGATATTTTAGTGCAGACTTCATGATTATCTCACTGAATTGATTACATCTGTGCAGTTTCTTGGAGTCCTGGTATGGTGCCATAGGATCAGCATTGGACCATAAGCTTGACTTGAACCTCAAGGTTGGCAGTTCAAACTCATCAGCTGCTCCTTAGAAACCTGACTAGCTGACACTTAATAACAACATGCAGTTTCTTGCACCCAGCATTTCTCAAGTTCTAGGAGAGGGAAGAGGACATTTCTGCAATGGTGGAGGTTTCATTTAAAACCCATGGCCACTACGTTAAGCGCTAGGTAAGTCGTACATCAATTTGTTGTACTGTGTTTGGTTTCATTCTACTGTAATGTTGGAAGCTTCACCACCGGTGTTTTAAATACCAGCCAGGTCTCCCATGGTGGACAGGTTTCCGTGGAACTTTCAGGCTAAGACAAGACTAGGAAGAAGAAGAGGTGGACCACTTCTGAATGTTTAGCCACTGAGCCCAGACAGCAGGGGCCCTGGGCCTGGGCACACACAGAGCAGAACTCTATGCTGTCTCCTGCCCCTTGTGCCTCAGACTGTGGGAGAGGCTGGCTTCCTCTTCACCAGCTTCCAGCTCAGCATTCACTGAAACACCACCTCAAGAGCATGGCTGTGTCTTCGGGAGCCATGCACGTGTGTGAAAGAGGCTTGAGCGTCAGTGTGGGGGGCGGTCTCTGTGTACCCTTGGATTGCTCTCATGCTGCATTTACCGTTGGCATCTGTTTAGTCTACATAGATTGCCAACATTAATGCCCAAGATATTTGTGTATAACTTGGGCTTTGTAGCTTTTTTTCTATTCAGAACTTACATGGCATGCTAATGACTTATGGTGCTGCCCTCCTCTGGTCAGCTGTATAGGACCATCGTGTGGATAAAGAACAGTTCGTCCCCTCCAGTACTTTAATGTGGAAACAATACATTTCACAGAACATAAATAAGATGAAAGGAATACACAGTCACTGTATCAAAAAGAAATGGTCGATGTTCAAGAGGTAGCAAATGATCAAGAGACAATGATACTGAAGGAGGAAGTTCTAGCTGTGGTGAAGGCAATGACGAGAAACAAGTCTCCAGGAAATGACAGATTCAAATGGAAATCTTTCAATAAATTGATGCAATACTGGAGTTGCTCACTCATCTATGCCAAGGAATTAGGAAGGCCATCTGATAGGAAGAGATCCATATTTGTGCCTGTCCCAAAGAGAGATGACCAAACAATGCGGACATCATTGAACAAATACCATTAATGACACATGCAAGTAAAATTTTACTGAAGATAATTCAAAAACAGTTGCAACCATATGTGACAGGGAACTAACAGGTTCAAGCTGGATTCAGAGGAGAATGTGTAACTAGGAATGCAATTACTGACATCGGATAGATCTTGGTTTAAAGCAGAGAATACCAGAAAGAAGTTAAACTGTGCTTTGACTATGCAAAGGCTTTCAACTGTGTGGATTATGATACTCTATGGATGACATTGTGAAGAATAGATATTCCAGAACACTTAATTGTGTTCATGAAGAATTTGGACATCGGCGGTCATTCGAACAGAAAAAGGTGATACTGAATGGTTGAAAATAGGAGAGGCAGGCGCCAAAGTTGTATCCTTTCCCCACACTTATTCAACCTGTATACTGAGCACATGATCCAAGAAGCTGGATTATATGATGAACGTGACATCAGGATTAAAGGAAAACTCATTAACAACCTGCAATATGCAGATGATACAAACTTGCTTGCTAAAAGCAAAAGGACTTAAAACACTGATGAAGATCAAAGACAACAGCAGTTCAGTATGAATTGCACCTCAAAAATCCTTACAAATGGACCAATAACTAATATCATAATAGAGAAAAGATTGAAATAGTCAAAGACTTCATTTTGCTTGGATCCACCACCGACACTCAACAGAAGCAGCGATCAAGTCTAATGATGTATTGCATCAGGTAAATCCAAGACTTCACTGGGTTTGAACCAGTAACTTTGCAGTCCAATGCTGATCCCACAGTGCCACCTCAGCAACATAATGGTGTAAGGTGGGACAACTGGTGGGTTTAAACCATCGACCTTGCAGTTAGTAGTCTAGTACTTACCCCATATTACCACACCAGGAATTTATATAAAAGATAATAAGTCATAATACCAATAAGCTAACACTAAAATACTTCTTAGGTTCACAATTGTAGACATTTGAATTGGACTGATGAAACTAAAAATTTTAAAGCTAAAAGTATTAACATTGTTCAAAATCATCTACCACATAGAACTTTCCATTTATTGCAGAATTAGAAGAACTAAATTAAAAGCCTTCACCAAGTCTTTCTTTGTTTTGTGTTGTTGAAAGTAGGGGTGTGGTCTACATATAATAAAATGTACAAATCTAAATCGTACAGTCTAATCAGGATTGACAAGTACATACACTCTTTACATAATAACAGACATGTCTGTCACTTGACGAAGTTCCCTCACGCCCCTGTGCATGTGACCTCCTCCACTGAGTCGTCGTGGGCTGGGCTGATGCTCTTCAGGCTGGATGGGAATCTGGGTGCCCACTCTGGCACCATGCCTGCAGAAGCTGGGGGCGCTCATTGCAGCCAGGCTAGGGTGAAGGTCTAAACTCCCTATTTATTTTCTGCTGATGGATTTGAGACTGGGGCCAAGGTTTTATCTGGGGTGTTTG